CTCTGGGTGCCTTGTATGGATGTGTGTTGTGTGTGTGTGTGTGTGTGTGTGTGTCTGCAGGGAGGGAGGGAGGAAGGGAGGGAAGAAGGGGACCTGCTTCCACCAAGCCCAGTGGGCCCCCAAACAGGCCGGACCGGATCCAACCTGGAGTGGGTCGGGGAGAGGAAGGGGAGGGGGTGCTCACAGCTCAGCTGTGGCCTGGGGGAGGCGCTCGGGGATCTTGGCGAGCTTCAGGCTGGAGCACTCCGCCACGCTGGCCTCGCAGCGGCACTTGTGCGGGCAGACCGCGTCGCTGTTGCACTCTCTGTTCAGCTGGTAGTCTTCCGTGCCTGGGGCGGGCGCAGGGGGCAGGCCTGGGTCTGAGGGCCCTGCAGGCTCCAGGTAGCCGCAGGCTGGCCCGCTGACCTCGGGGTCTTCGTGCCTCTCCACCCTACAGCCACCGGCACCCCTCCACCCCACCCTGCCTCCCAGGCTGGCCCATGCTCCCCCACTGTCCTACCTGGAATGAAGTACTGCTCCTTCGCTGGGGAGAGAAGTAAAAACACAGTGATGGCGGGGTCAGCCAGGAAATTTACGGACAAACTGGACCCTAGCCCCACCGCCCAGTGAAAGGGGCCCCGGAGATGAGGTGGGGGGCCCCAACCAGGGCCTGGGAGCCTCTTGCCCAGGCTTTGTGTACAGAAGGCCGGGGTATGGGGCCCGGGGGGTTCTGTGTGGAGCGACAGCCATATTCGCAGGAGGGACCGTCTCTGGAAGAGCAGCGGGTCAGGGTCAAGAGGAAGGCCCTCAACAAGGTGGGCTGGCACAGTGGGAGCAATGACGGGCTCAAACTTGACCACAGGAGTGAGGATGGCACAGGGCTGGGCAGTACCACCTTCTCCCACACCCAGGGCAGCTGTGCGTCGGAGCTGGTGCAACAGCACCGAACAACCACACCACCAGGCTCACCCCCGAGCCCGCTTCTCGCTTCTCGGATGGAACGCCCAACACCGTCAGAACTGCCCGAGAGGCCGTGCAGACCTCACCGGAGGACACAGGGCAGCCGTGGGCCAGGCTCCAACAGGCCCTAGGCTCAGAAGCCGGCACCACAGTGCGGAGGCAGGTGCCAGGGCTGCTTCTGTTGTCCCAAAGCTCCTGTCTTCCAGCCTCAGCGAAAGGAGTGTGGGGTGGAATGACCACCCAGGCCCCAGCCTAGAACTCGGGCCCTCCCCACTCCCCTGCAGAGCAGCCAGGATGGGCTGACTGAGGCCCCCCAGGAAACACGGTGGGTTCTGAGCAGAGGGAAGGCAGGCAGGCAGGGGGCTGGCAGCTACCTGAGCACCGGAACTTCTTGCTCTTGATCTGCCCGATGCGCTTGTTGGCGAGGCGCCGGGGGCTGGCGCAGCGGGCCCCGCTGGTCTCAATGGGGTTGGTGCGCAGGAAGTCCGCCAGCCACTTGAGGTTGCAGTCGCAGATGAAAGGGTTCTGGGCCAGATGCCTGTCTCAAAGGAGCCGACGGGGGTCAGAGAGAGACTCCAACCTCCACCCGAACAGAGCCTTGCTGTCTCTGGTCCTTTTCCCAGCCTCCTCTTTGTACAAGGGGCATGCAGAAAAAATGACCGCGAGGTGACCTAGGTACTTAGTCCCTAGCCAGGCTTCCTGCATCACCAGCACGGTGAATGTGGCGGTGGTAGGGGGTAGGTGACAGTTGAGAACAGCCAAGGAAACCCAGGCTGCTCTGAGTGGCTACTCCGGGGTTGCCCTGTGGGCCCCGGCCCCTAGCCACCTCAGCAGGGTTCAGACCAGCCACACTGTGCCTGCCCTGTCCTTGGCTCTCCCATCCAAAGCATCGCCTGCTGTCCCGGGTCTGGTGGCTGTCCCAGGCCGGCCATTTACGCTCACAGGCCAGAGAGGTGATCCTCACACACAGACGTGCAGAGGACAGGTCAGAAGGACTCAAGAGCCACTGTCACCGTCCCTGCCTCTGCATGCCATTAGCTCAAGCCATCTGATAGTTTTTGCCTCAGCCCAGCCCTCTCTGCCCAGGGCTACTGGCTCCCAAAGCAGAGGTGTGAACCACAGCTTGGGGTCTGCACCCGGCTCTGCCCAGAGCTTAGCTGCTCTCTCTGAGGTCCACTGTCCTTGGACTCTGCCTTTTGGAGACAGGATGGAACCATGCTAGATGCCTCTCCCCTTTCCAGCTTCCCTCCGAATTTCTGGACAGAAAGTCTGCCCCCCACAAATACGTCTGGGTGGGCCAGGCTCCCCTCACAGCTTCTGCTTTCTGCTCAACATGTGTTCCTCGTTTTACATGGTCAGTTTGCACACTAAGGACATGTTGGCTGAGTACCCAAGGCTACCTAAAATCCTAGCTAACTTAAAACATCAGGCGTGATACACAGCTCAGGACTCCTCCCCAGCCGCCTGTCCACACTGTGCCGTAGCGTCCCTGCCTCTGCCAGGACAGATTGCTCCCTCTCTCATGAGCTTCGGAGACAACTCTGCTGATAATGGATTCAGTTCTGTGGTTTGGGCATGTGGCAAATGCCCATGCAGGGGGAGGGAGCGCCAGACAGATCCCTTTTAAGAACAGGCGATTTGTGTCAAAAACCAATCTATAAAACTTGAACCACCCAGAGAGACCAGAGGTTTCTGTTTACACATAGTGATTTGATGCAAATCAGAACGTTCAACAACTCAAAGTGCAGGGAGATGGGAAGGCAAAATGCTCAGGTAGAAGAAGAACAAAGTCTGGAGGGAGGTCATCACGTGAACGTGACATTGAGTCGTGTGCTGCCGGTCACGTGACCGTGCCGCTAGCTCCATCAATGGTTCTGACCGTGGGAGGAAAGGGAAGGGAGACGGAGCTCCAATGTCTGTTGGACGACTCTAAAGAGTCGTCTGAAAATCTCTTTGGGGCAGATGCTCAACCGTCATTAGTTGTTTCAGGAAATGCCAATTAAAGCCACAGGGAGACATCAACTACAGGCAGTAGCAGAATCTCTGTCTTTGGACTCATAGGGGACCTATAGGCCATCTCAGAACTGCCCCCATGGGTTTCTGAGACTGTTACTCTTCAGGGGAGCAGAAAGTCTACGTTTTCTCCCATGGAGCAGCCCGTGGTTTCGAACTGTGGACCTTGTGGTTAGCAGGCCAATGCATAACCCATTAAGCTACCAAGGGGGTTACGAGTCAGCATCCCTCGATGACAGTAAGTTTTGGGGATGTTTGTTATAAAAAAAGACAGACAATATCAAGCGCTGAGAGGGTGTGGAAGGACTGGAACCCTTACAGACCACAGTCTTGGCATTATGGGTCCTCCTGTGCTCCTCCTCCACTTGGCCAACCAATAAGAGCTGCTCCTTTGCATCTGATCATTTTCAGGTTCTGCAGCCATACCGAGCAAGCCCTGAGAGACTGTGCAGCCTGTCACCTGACCTGCTTAGGCAGCTTCCACAGTCTTTTGAGTCAACAGCCTGTCATCTGATGGGCTCGTGAGAGTTTGTCAGCTCTTGCAACCATGTGAGCAAGGAGAGCCCTTTAGCCTGGCATCATCTGAATGATACATTTGGGACTTGCTCGCGTCCACAGCTGCATGAGCAGAAACCTTGACAGCCCCTTAGAGTTCTGTGAGTTGTAGCAAATAAAAGGACCCCAAAATGTGAGGGAGCACACTGGGGGAAGGGAGGGAAGGGTTGGTAGCAGAAATGATGGAGTGATAGAGCATTTGGGACATCTCTAAACTCTTCCTTGTAGGAACCAGCTTTGGACAGCTCTAAACTCTTCCTTGTAGGAACCAGCTTTGGACAGCTCTAAACTCTTCCTTGTAGGAACCAGCTTTGGACAGCTCTAAACTCTACCTCATAGGAACCAGCCTTGCGCTGATCCTTCTAAAAAATAGTCATGCATATAAGCCCCAAAGTGGAGACCATCCAAATGGCCCTTAACCGAAAGGTGTAAACAACATGTCCATACAATGGAATATCATTTGGAAATAAAAAGAAGAAACATAGTACCGATACCTACTACAGCACAGACGAACCTTAACACACATTAAATTGGGGGGGGGGGAGCAGCCACTAAAGCTGACAAATGATTCCAATTCTATGAAACACCCAGATAAAGCCCATCTATGAAGACAGAAAGTAGATTAGTGGTTGCCTGGGGCTAGGGTTGACGATGAGGCTGGATTGTAAATGAGCACAAGGGCCCCGGGGAAGATGATGACCGTGTTCTAAATTAGATTGCGGTGTACATTAGATCGTTCTATACATTGACTAAAAAGGCCTTTCACTCAACACCCAGAGCAGGTGAATGTCCTGGTTTATAAGCGATGCCTGTTACATTTTGATTCTGATCTTCCGGGCAGCAGACTCAATCCTACTGTATAAGGCATTCAGCCACAGAGCTTGCAGTTATAGACAAGCCAAGAGAGATTTATAGGATTGAGTCTAACCAAGCAAGAGCGAATCAAGGAGCTCAATCACAGAGGGATAATCGGAATGTCTGATTGTACCTGGGATCTGCACTTATTTTCTTCTTGCTCCTAAATGTTGTTTTGGATACTGATACGCTGTAATCGTTAAATAAAGCTCAATCTTGCTTTGCAAGTCTAACAACGAGACTTCTTCTTACAGAAAAGCACCACTGAGGGGGAAGCTCCCCCAGTCTCTCAGTTCTGGCCTGGAGGTGCCTGCTTCACTCGCTGTCGGCGACTTGGTGGTGTAGTGGTTACAAGTTGGACCGCTAACCACTAAGGTCAGCAGTTTGAAACCACCAGCCACTCTGTGGGAGAAGGTGGGGCTTTCTACTCCCGTGAAGAAGTTCCGTCTCGGAAACCCTGTCCTAGAGGGTCGCTGTGAATCGGGATCGACTCCATGGCTGGGAGTTCGGTTTGTTTTTTGGCTTTTCACTAGCTGTTGTGTGACCTCAGGTGACTTACTCCCTGCTCCTGCTTCAGTTTCCTTAGACGTCAAACCAAGGGGGATAAGCCCTCCAGCGCGTTCTTTTGAAGAATGCCTAGGAAAAGCCTGGCCTCCCGTGTGTAAGTCCCCAATAAAACCCAAACCCAAACCAGTCCATCCCAATGGAGAGGAGCCCTATGGGACACGGTGGACTGGTCCCGTTCAGGTCCCCAGGCTGCAATCTTTATGGAAGCCAACTGCCACCTCCACCTCCGGCAGCAGTTCACTGGTGGAGCCAAACTGCTGACTTTCAAGTGGCAGCCAAGCTTAACCACTGCACAACCCCGGAGTCCCGTAGTGCCCCCAAACCAGGGGTGGTGGGCATGATCTGCGTGCTCGTCTACTAATCAAGAAGTTGGCCCTTCAAGTCCACCTGGAGGTGCCACAGAAGAAACCTGAGAAACCCATCCCTATAAACCCTAAGGAGCCCCGTTCTCCAGACTTACAGGGGTGGCCATGCGTGGGCTCTTGGGGTGGCCATGTGTGGGCTCTCGATGGAAGTGCCTTGGTCTGCATTCACGGTCATTGCTGTTATGACTCCCACCATCTTGCCTATGGGAAGCCTTTCTGTCCTACCATTCTGACCCAGCTGTATGGTCACAGCTCATGCCCCGTTGCCGGGGTGTCTAGGAGCACTATGGTGGAATCCGCCAGGGAATTAAATGGTCATGGACAAAGGCTGCAAACCCCTCCCTCACCACATGCCCGACTCAATGCTCCTTCCACCTTGAGAGAAAAGCTTAAGCGACAGAACTGAATCCATTGTCAGCAGAGTTGTCTACAAAGCTCATGAGAAAGGGAGCAATCCGTTCTGGCAGAGGCAGGGACGCTACGGCACACAGAGGTATGGACGGGCGGCTGGGGAGGATCCTGAGCAGTGTATAACGCCTGGTATTTTGAGGGAGTAAGATTTTAAGTAGCCTTGGGTACTCAGGCCCATTTGCTTCCCATGCCCAAGGCTTCCCTGGGTATGCGTCTTTGGCCTTCAAGTCTCCTTAGCCCAGTTTAACTGGTTTTCCAGGCAAGGTTTGACAGCTGCTTAAAATAATCTACCTCGAGATGCCACCTTGGTGACCTCCAATTTCGCATACTTGGTCAGATCCCTCCCCTGGCACTGCAGCATCCCCTTCCTGCCTGTAAGTAAATTAATTAATTAGCCGGCACGGGGCTGCAGGCCAGTGTGGGTGTTTTAATGAGTTTGTCTTTGTAGATGACATCCCTGCAGAGCCCCCAGGGAGCAGAGGCGGTGGGCTCATCCCCACCTGTTCCGCACCTACCCCAGCACGCCTGCAGGTAGGATCAGCAGCTAGACCAGGAGCAGGTGACAATGACAACAAGGACCACGGTCATACCCGTGCCAAATGCTCAATAAGCACATGTCAAAGCACACTGCAGTCCCAGGGCTAAGCCATCCAAAGTGATGTGGCCTCCGAGAGCCATGGGAGGGGAGGTGTTTCCTTAGACTCCATCTAAGCCCAACCACACATCACTATCAAATGGAAAAGGGATGTTAGACTCGGAATATCCCATTTGGAAGTCCCTACCACAGAACAAGGAGCCCTGGTGCAGTTATGTGTTGGGCTGCTACCCTCAAGGCCAGCTGTTCAAAACCTCCCGTGGCTCCTTGGGGGGAAGGGGAAGTTTTTTCACTTCCGTAAAGCGTGACAGTCTCAGGAACCAATGGGAGTCGTTCTCCCTGCCCTGTAGGGTCGCTCTGAGTTGGAATTGACCGGATGGCCGTGAGTTTGGGTTTTTGAGACCACAGCACAAATGCTGACGTGTCTCCCTAAATATGTTGCAAAGTCACAAGGCGCTGGCGAGGAAGCTTACATATTCAGGACGCTTGAGCGCAACGTGAGCCAGTATCTACCAATTATACTACATAGGCCTTGAAGAAATCCTGATTCTAACAAACGACAAAGATGATTCTTTTCCTCTTAGACAACTGGAAATTCACACCCTAGTGAGGTATTCGATCTAACAACATCTTGAATTGTTACATTTTTAGGTGTCATAGCTGCGTGAGGGTTGCGTTTCCACAGGTTATGTGTGAAGCCTGAATGCATGACAGACAGCTTTGCTTTGAGTGGCAGAAAGAGAGCAAGGTGAAGATGAAACCAGCCAGGCCATGAATCCATAGCTATGAAAGTGATCGCCATCGAGTATTGATAAATGGCTAGCGGAGTCACTGTACTGGTTTTAACATGTTTGTGTTTCTCCATGATAAAAGCTGGAAACAAACCCCTACGTGGATTGGGTGCTCATTTTTAATATATAATTACTGTGGCTCCTATTTTGTTTTATCTGGTTGTGGGAAGCTCACACTGAGGGACATATGAGGAGGACTATATTCCCTAACTTAGAGCAGCGAGGGTCTGGAAAGCTGGTATTCCACGGTAGGAAAGCCTCCACTCTGGTAAGTTCGAGATCAAGTGCAAGTACATTATCCTCCTTTAAATATCATTCCCACAGACTCTCCCCTAGCAGCTCTGCTGCCTTAAAGTGAGCACATGGTTGATTGTATCTCCCTATAGAAGCAGACATCCTGTTGCTATCTCTTCCCGCAGGTCACCCAGCCCCCCTCATACCTTCCCCCAATGCAGGTATTGGGTTTCCTCACCTGTGAGCTCAGGGACCTTACTGTCGATCCCACCCACCTTGTGACGTACACCACTACTGAATATGCATGTCTCATGGCTACCTACAAATGTCCCAAGAGCGTGAAGGCTCTCTCTCTTCTCCCACTTCCACGTGGACCATCAAGAGGGGCTGAGATGAGCATGCTACCGTACAAGGTGTCTGACTCCATTAGTTACTCTTTCCTACCCTTCCTATCCTCTAAGACTTTACTATGATCTTTATCTATTATAAACGTACAATTGCGCCTACAGACTCTTTGGCTGTTACAGGCTGTTTTCCTCTAAGACATGGTGTAAGACACAACCGATTGCAAAATTCACTGATATTTTCTGTACGATCAGGAAAGACCCAATCACTGCCAATTACGTGGCCCACCACCGGCAGTGATATGCACCCCAGTTTCAGACAGGTGTCTCTGTGATTAGGGCCTTGTTATCACACCATCAGCTGTGGCCAGCTTCACGCAGCACAGCTGGGGAGTTTAGCTCTGGACAAACATCTCCTCTGGCTGGATGCCCATGGAGGCCTGGTATCCCATTCTACAGATGGACGGATACAAACTGAAGGAAGTGAATGGCTTTGTCTAGGACCACACAGCCAATGTGAGGCATAGCTGGGGTTTGAACTCAGAATGTGGAACTCAGAGGCTTCCTGTAGAAGTCACCCTGCAGTGAGCAGCCCAGCCCAGGGCATGGCCTGCTGTGACCTCCTCCAAGCCCCTGCTAGGACCTTCCTGCAGTGCCTTGTAGGAGGAGGGAAGAGAAGGGATGGGGGTGGGGGTGGGGGGAGAGGCCACTCACAGGGTCTGGATGGCCCGCAGGGAGGTGAAGGTGCCCTTGGCCAGACTCTGGATCTTGTTGTCGTACAGAGAGAGCAGTGACAGGTTCTGCAGGTCCTGGAAGGTGTCTGGCCGGATGCAGTTGATCTTGTTGGCGTTCAGGAGCCTGCGGGCCGAGGCGGGTCAGGTGGTGAGGGGAGAGGCACAGAAGCAGACTCATCGAGTGTTCTGGGCATCTTCAGGGAGGAGCCTCTGGAGAGCAGACACGGGGGCCTCACCCTCTGGGTGCCCTTCCTCACACAGAGGGCTGGGGTCCTGACCACCTGCTCCATGCTCAGTGACACAGGAGTCTGCCCTCTTCTTGCCTGCAAGGAGCGTAAGGGGCCCCTTGGGGGTCCAGAGAGCAGAGAGCACACTGGCTAAGGCATCCCCCAAAGGCAATTTCTGGGACTGCTCCCAGTTTTCTGCAGGCAGCTGAGATGGAGCATTTGGGGCCAATGCCTCCTGGGCTCTGGGGAGACTCCATGCCTGGATGCTCATGGCTCTAGAAGGCCGAGCTGGGCCTGACAGTCTCCAAGCGGGAGGAAACTCTGTTCCCAGCCACACCAACTCCTCGGGAACACAGGACAGCTCGGGTTCAGCAGCTGCCTTCCCACCCCTGGTGGCTTTCCGTCCACTCTGACCCCACTCCTTGTCCGGTGGCCTCTCAAACGCCACCAAATCTGCCCTTCTTCCAGGCTCCAGTTCCAACCAAGTCCCCATACGCCAAGGAGACTGCAGGGCCGGTCTGAGAGCCTTAGGAACCCTGACCCGCCTCCCCAGTCCCCGCACTGCCCCCGGCCCTCATGGTCCTTACAGAAGCTGTAGGGTGTAGAGGCCGCCAAACACGCCCCGCGGGAGGTCTGTGATCTTGTTCCCATAGAGGACCCTGGAGAGAAGGCAACGAACAGGGAAGATCAGAGGAGAGCCAGCAATCCAGATCGCGCACCGCACGCTGGTGCGTCTTTGAACTGCTCTGTACATGAAACAGACAGCAGGCATGTCCGAAGGGCCTTCCAAAAGTTTGTGGGAAAATGATGAGGGCAGCATACATACAAGTTTTCTTGTTTAACTGATGTATTGATTGTTATAATATTTGTAAGAGCCCCAATAAAATGATTTAAGAACAAAAATTTGTGGGGGGGAAATACCATTCTCTTTTTGACATTTTCCATGAGCCTGTTGATGTCTCCTGGTATCTATACTGGAGGATTCCTGGTGACGTTGTGCTTACATGTTGGACTGCTAACCCGAAGGTCAGTGGTTTGAAACCACCAGCAGCTCCACAGGAGAAAAATGAGGGTTTGTAGCCCCATAATGAGTTATAATCCCAGAAACCCATAGAGGAAGTTTTTCCCTGTTCTATAGGGTCTCTGTGAGTGTTGACTGGATGGCAATGACTTTTTTTGGTTTGGGTTTTGTTTTTTGGGGGGTGGTGGTGTATATTTTGGAGGCCTGGTGTCACAGTGGTTATGCGTTGGCTGCTAACCGCAAAAAGCAGGCATTTCAAAACCACCAGCTTCTCCGAGGGAGAAAGACGAGGCTTTTTGGTATAGGTTTTATATCAAGTCGTCAGCAGGTGGCAGTAAAAGGCTCAATGTTTTCATCTGCACCTTAAAGGAGCAGGGTCCCCTCAAGGAAAACTGACCTGGCCCTGGGTCCAAATGCAGTCAGCTCAGAGAGCGGGAAGTCTCACGGGCAGGATGGATTAACATCCTTTCAAAGAACTACAGCAAAAACTAGGGTGCCTGTCTGCACAGGCAGCGTGGGCCCTAACATATCTAGGGAGTCTGCTGGGCTGAGAAAATGCCAGACGGAAACAGCACCAAACGCCAGCTGTTCTTAGACCTGGAGGTGGGATTGCAAGGGGTGTTTGGGTTGTACTCCAGTGTTTTCTACACGGAGCCTGGACTGTATGCATCATCAGAACCGAAAACGCAAAGGTTTGAGCAAGACCTGCAGGCAGGCCGGGACTTTCCCATGCACCTGCAGGGTTTTCCTTTGCCGGAAGGACAGGGGAGCACCAGGAGGCTTGGAGGTCATAATCAGTTCCCACCGGCCACCCCTGAAAGCATTCAGAGGTAAAGCAACTCGTGCTGTGTCTTCAAACCCGGCTGAGGAGCCAAGGCCCCAGGCTGGATGCAGGCCAGCTGTGTGAACTGTGCGCCCAGTGTGGTTTGAGCAGAAGCAGCGATAGGGACCTAGCTTGGGTTTTACGGACAGCACCAGGAAGCCACTGAGGCCCGATCAGACACACAACATCCTCTGGCTGCCGGTTGCAGAATGGGCAGGGCAGGCGCTGAGGCAGGGGGCGGGGTCAGGGCCCGCCCTGGGTGGGTGCTGCCCATGGGATCTATTGCATGACCTTTGCATGAAAGTGCCTAGAGGACAGTGGGCGGTGGCCATGACCAGGTGCCACAAGCACCAGAGGCCTCTCAGATGGGTCACGGCGCCTGTCCCTTCTCAGGGGACGAGCCCCACACGCTGGCGAGCTGCCTCGGCATCTGGTCTCAGCCAGCGGAGCAGCCCCGCCCCCCCCAGGCTGTGAGGCACAGCCGTGTAAAGTGGTGCTCCACCCAACCGAGGGGTGCCACTCACACTGAACGAGTGCCTGGACAGTCTAGAGCTCTAATCCGAGGCAGGTAGGTGGTCCATCTGTCTCATTTGCAGGGCTCTGGCTCTAGGCCTAGCCTGCACCCCAGCAAACAAGGGACAGATGAAAATGCATGCTCCTAGGAGTGATAGCCCCCTACCCTGGACAGCTCGCTTGGCCGCAGGGGTCACGAGTGTGCCCTCTGCACGAAGGACCCTGGGACTTCGGCGAGCACAGGGGCCCGGAGCACGGGCTCCTGGGAAAGCAGAGATGGGGGGACAGTCCCACAAGGGAGGGGTGCTGCTGCGATGGCTCTGCTGAAAGGCAGGTGCCCCATGGCATCTCCGGGGAACGGCACGGGTGAGGTGGAGGAAGGTCTCCAACACTCAGCACATCCTGGCCCAGGAGCAGCTGCGATGGATCCTTGTTGGCGCTGCTGGTTAAGCACCCCATGGGTGGCCCCAGGGAAGGCTCGGGGTACGGAACGCTGGGTGTCTGGGGAGGACAGGTTGCCGTGGAGGCGAGATCTGGGCCGGAAGACTGCCACAAAGAACGCTGGGAAGACCCCGATGAGAGGCAAGTCTCAGAGTTGCCCGGGGCAACGGCTCCACCAAGCTTCTCCATGGGCAAGCAAGGCCTGGCCTGGGTGGGTCCCCGGTGGGAGGGTCAGAGCAGGTACAGCCAGAGGCGGCCTACGGAGGTCAGGGCAGGACTGGGGCAACTGCAGGGAGCTGCTCCCAGCGGAGTGGGGTCCGGGAACCCAGCCTCCTTGGGGACCCCCTTGGATTGCCCAAGACCCCCTTGGGTTGCCCAAGATCCTGGGCCGCTACTCACAGCGAGTTCAGGGAACGGAGGCCCTGGAACGCATCGGGCGCGATCTGGGCTATCTGGTTGTTGCTCAGGTCTCTGCAAAGACAGGGGGGTGGCTGAGCACACCGGCCACCACCCGGCCCTGCCCAGGCAGCTTTGCTTCCCCCACCCTCAAACAGCCCATCAGCCATGTCCTGGGGCCCGTTGGTCGGTCGGGGGGCTCTGGCGGTCAGCTCTGCTCGGTCAGCCAGGGCTATGCACTTTTAGGCCTCAAGCCGCGGGGCCATCACACCGCCCCTCCTTTATAGGGCCCCTCTAGTGTCAGAGGCAGAGTCGGCTAACACGTTGGGTCCAGTGCAGGGGGGGGGGAGGTCTGCTGGGTGGGCGTGGGGGGGTGTGGCACACTCACATCCTCCGCAGCCTTCGGTAGGGGGAAAAGGCTCCCGGGGGGATGGACTTGATCCCGTTGAGCTCCAGGCGGCTGCGAGGCAGAACCCAGGGAGGCAAGAGGCTCAGGTCCACCCAGCCCTGCTATCCCTGCTGCCCCCGCTGGGTCACCACCCTCTGCCACTCCTGCCCGGCTCCCAGCTCCGTCTGGGGCCCAAGACCAGAGTAGGGGGGTGGCTGGAGGCCAGGAGAGAAGCTGCTTGGATTGCGCGCCAGGACCCTGGGCCTCCAGGGCTGAGAGGGGCGGTGAGGCTCAGATGCAGCTGAGACTCCGGACGGAGGCTGGCAGGCCCACTTGGGGCCCAGCAGGGCTGGACTGAGGGACTGCAGAGGGACACCACCTCCCCCGTCCTCTGGAGGGTCCCAGCCCTGGGAAAATGGTGTCCCCAGATGTCACGGAGCGGTCAAGGGTGGGAGGGGGGTGGGCAAGTCCTGAGTGGTGCCTGCTTCAGTTGGACACTGGACCCACATGCCAGGGCTCAGCTAGGCCAGAGGGGGGCCTGCCCCTGCTCTTACATCTCCGTCATGGTCTCCGGGAGGTTGGCAGGGATGGCGGTGAGACCCTTGCCACGACAGTCCACGATGCCATTGCTGCAGGCACACATGGCTGGGCAGGAGCCGGAGGAGAGGGTGCAGGTGGGCACACGGCCTGCTTCCCCCTGGCCTGCGGAAACAGTGGGCTGTGATTCTGGCAGTCCCATGTCAGCGCCCCCAGCCCCACATACAGACTGGTGGTAGGGGAGGGGGAGGGGTGAGCTAGGGAGATCACTCAAAATAAAACAAAACAAAATCCAACGTCGCAACCCTCTAGGACAGAGAAGACCTGCCCCTGTCTAGTCTCCAAAACTGTAACTTTGCAGGAATAGGAAGCCTTGGCTTTCTCCCACGGAGCAGCTGCTGGTTTCAAACGACTAACCTTGTGGTTAGCAGCCCACACTCCCATCCCTACCCCCGACAAATGAGAGATTCCAGACATGGCCCACCCAAACCCAAGCTTACTGTCATCCAGCCAAATCCAACTCAAACAGACACACACACACACACACATACACATTAATGTGGGGAAGAGAGCAAGACAGGCTGGTGCTACACATGCACACACACACACACACACACACACATGCAGCAACACAGGGGGAGGCTAAGTCCCCTACTCTCCTCTCTCACACACATACATGTCCACAGGTACACACATACACCCTTACATCCATGTGCTCTCCTTTAAGGTGACCTTTCTCATGCCCTTGGCTCATGGCTCAGACGCCTCAAGGTGACAATACGGTCACTTTAGCCAGTAAGCACCATGCCCTGGGAGTAGTTGTGTCCTGGGTCATCACCGACCCCAGCTTTGGGAAGAGTGTATCTCCACTTCCACTGTGGTCAAGTCCTTTCCATCCCGACCCCTTCATCTCCATCGCTGGCCTCAGAGGCTGGGCAGAAGCTGGACCCAGGGCTCTCAAATGGAGCACAGTCCCCGCCCCCACTGAACCCCAGCACGGCAGTCACTCTTGGAATGTTAATACCAGGCTCAGACCCAGCTCCTCACCTGAACGAAGCCAATTCATTTTCATCTGACCCTCACAACCCTGTCATGAACCTCGTTTTCCAGATGAGGAGACTGAGACCTTGAGTTTAAAAGTCACTTCCAAGGTCACATATGCTCGGGAGCCATGGAGACAGGAAGCACCCCTGCTCCACGCACCACAGCAGCATGCTGGAGCCCTGCAGCCTGCCCAGGGCAGTGAGGGTCATCCAGGAAGGTGGAGCTGCAGGGCCCTTCTCTGGCTGCACCCAGAGCCACTCTGCTTGCCTGCCTGCCATCCGTGGTGGCTCAGGAGGGCAAGCAGCAGTTTCCTCCGCAGGACGAGCTCCACGGGGCGTGGGGCGGGGTTGAAGGCCACTGGGTCCCCTGCAGATGTCTCACAAGCTCACTAGCTCTCAAGCCTGTCTCCTGGCCCGGGCACCTCGTGGGCTTTGGGGTCCTGCAGCCTGGGTACCCAGAGTTGGGTACTGTGAGGACCACGGAGGAGGCAGCAGCCACACCTCATGTTGTGGGAAGGAGCCCAAGCTCAGGAGCCAGCAGGCTCAGAGCCCATTGGCTTGAGAGCAGTGACCAGCCCCTTAGCACCCCCAGCTGGGCACTGGGCTGCTGACCACAAGGTTGTGGCTCAAGCCCACAGCCACTCCCCAGGAGAAATAAGAGGCTGTCTGCTCTGTAAAAATTGACTCTCAGAAAGCCGATGTACGGTCGCTGTGAGTTGGAATAGGCTGGATGGCCTTAGGTTTGGTTTGGGAGCCTTCTTGGCCTTGCAAGTTACGGGCTGGGCTGGTAATCACAAGTTCATCAATTCAAACCCACCAGCTGCTCGGAGGGAGACAACGGAGGCTGCCTCCACCCCTAACGATTTACAGCTGGGAAGCCCGAGGGAGCAGCTCTACCCTGTCCTGTCGTGGAACTGACTCCAAGACAGTTGAATGATGGTGGCGGAGGAAGCACACATGGCGAATCCGAGCACTTTTCAATCACTTCTCCCACAAACATGTCCCGAGCCCCACGCTGTGCTGAGCACGTGCAGAGAGCGGGCAGAGAATGCAGCCAGACAAGGCAACACGGTGCCCCACGTCCTCCTGGAGCTCAGTCTGGGGGAGAAGGGTGCTCACAGGAGCCCTCTACAGGCGCCCGGCCCTTCCTGGCCGCTGTGCCACGTGTCCCCGGAGAGAAGGCCGGACTTGGAAGGCAGGGACGGGGCTGCTCTAATGCTGCTTCTCCTGAGCGTCCCGAGGGGCAGGTGCTGGGAGTGAGGGGGCACCCTGAGGAACAGAAGCTCGGGCCTCTTGGGGGGTGCGGGGCAACATGTAAGCTGGGGTCTGCAGGCGGAGGTGGTGCAGCAACCGGGCACATGAGGGGCTCAGGTGAGGCTCCTGCTCCAGGGAAGGGTAGAGGGGAGGCTGGGAGGCAGTGAGCAGGAGGTAGGGCAGTGGGGAGGGCAGGGCTGGACAGAGTGGGAGGCAGCAGGGACTTGGGATCCTCTGATCACACAAGGGATGGCGTGGAGATCCGAGGGACCGGGAAGAGGCAGGTGATGGCTCAGGAGCCCTGCAAGATCCCCATGGGAGACAAAGTGGGCACGGTAGTGGGAGGCCACCTCCACTCCGGCAGAGGAAAGAAGGTCCTACTCAGTGTCTTTCCCGGGGACCGGTGAGACGACAGGAGGAGGCAAGGGTGGAAACAAGAGGAGGGAAGGAGAGGGGGAGCAGGCGGAGGGAATGGGGGAGCACTGGGCAGAGCAGGAAGAGTAAAGACATGGGGCAAAGAGGATGATGGATGAAGGAGGCAGTGTGTGGGGGCGGGGATGGCAGGGAGGGACAGGCAGAGAAAAGGGAGGGGAGTGAGAGTGATGAGATTTATGTGGAGACAAGAGGTGGGATAGGAGGTGATGGTGGGGGTAGGGGGTGATGGTGGGTAAGAGGTGATGGTGGGGGTAGGGGTGATGGTGGGTAAGGGGTGATGGTGGGGTAGGGGGTGGTGGTGGGTAGGAGGTGATGGTGGGGACAGGTGATGGGTGGGGATAGCAGGTAATGGGTAGAGCTAGGTGGTGATGGGTGGGCCGGCGGTGATGGCCATGGGAGGGCCCCACACCCACCTGAACAGCTGAACTCACTCTTCTGGACCTCAGCCACGTTGAGGCCCCGCAGGCCGGCGGGACCCGAGCACTGGCTGAAGAGTCCGATGGTGGGCCGCTGCCTCAGCCACTGGGAGAGCCAGGCCAGGTGGCAGTCACAGAACAGGTGGTTGGAGTGCAGACGGCTGCAGGAGGACAGGGCGTGTCACTGCCCACCTGAGCCCTGATCGAGCAGCAGCAACCCCTCAGCCTCTGCAGGGGGCTGAAACCCTGTGTGCTCCATCCGCACGCAGATGACCCGTGCTCTATCAGCTGCCCCACTTTCCTCGGCTCACAGGGGTCTACCGCCCCAATCACACAACTCATTTCCAAATGCAAGCCTGATGTCAATGATAGGGCAATGTCCTATCATTTCAGATCGTCTCCCCCACCCCAGGGGATGTGACCCAGATGTTCCCCACCTGGGCAGCACACAAGGGGGTATAGAGGGGAGTGAGGTCCAGCCCATTCCCAGGAGCCAGCACCGCCTCGTCCCACCCCTGAGTACTGGCCCCCCCACAGCTCGGCTCCCAGCAGCCTCTGGGCTTGACTCACAAGGTCCGGAGCTTGGGCATGTGGTTGAAGCTGGACACAGGGATGGTGGTGATGTTGTTGTTGTTCAGGGTCCTGGAGGGGAGAAACCAGAGTCATTTTGTGGCTGCCCAGCTGAAAGGGATCAGGGAGGACAGAGTGCCTGCTCAGAGATGGCAAGACCCTCCTGCCACAGTCCGAGGGCACTCTCAAGGTTTGTCTTTACCAGGCTCAGAAGTGGGTGGCGCCCTGGAGTGAGAGTCACAGCCACCCCTCCTCCATGGGAAATGTCCTGAGCTGGACAGTGACCACAGGCCAACTGCACTAGGACTCCCTATCTGATGGGACTGGGCAGAAGGAGAAAAGAGAGTCGGGGGACATGTCCCAGTTTCAGCTTAGTTTTGAGCAAATAGGGCTTACACTGGGGAGCAGGGGGAGGTGACAGCATTTGGGCCTTGTGTGTCAGAGGGCCCTGGAAGATAGCCCCTTGCCGGATATTGTGGGACAAACATGACCCCATGAGCACACCCCTCTAACGGTGGCAGAGATGCCAGGAGAGCGGAGAACACCAGGGCTGGGACCTCCCCCCGCACCCCCTGCCCCTTCCACATCTCCTGTCTTCAGCGCTGCATCCAGCCCCTGACTCCAGCAGCCAGGTGCGCCCCACCCCCTGACCCTAAGCTTCTCCCTCCTTCCTGCATGTTTTACTTACAGCACCTCCAGCCCCCGCAGAGCCCGGAAAGCCCCTTCCTCAATGCAGCTGATCTGGTTCTTGTCCAGCTGTCTGTGAAGTAGAAGAAAGGCTAGAGAGAGGGGTGCACACTGCCCAGAGCAGAGGTCTCCCCACGTTTGGATCAAGTATTCCATGAGGAAAACAATGAAGACAGGCATGCCCCCAGTCTGTGTCATCCAAATATTAATACTTAGATTATTTCCTATGCCCAGTGAAGACACACAGACACACATACACACATACACACACAGAAACAGACACACAGACACACACACACACATACATACTGGCAGTCAGACAGACAGCAGTTGGATGTCACACTGACTGACAGTGGCTGCCTTCAGCACTGCTCGCAGAATAAGTCAGAAGCTGTGATAGGGGCTCTGTGAGAAAGAATGCTGTGATCGATTACCAATGTCTGCCACAGGCATGGGAGAGGGGGGAAAGTGACAAGCATGTCAACCATTTGCCATCCCTGCTGCAGTCAGAGCTTAGGCAGATTAATAAGATCTTGGGGGAAATGGTAAACCTAGCCCAGAACAGATTTAAATAATCAGAATAAACCAGTATGATGAAAACAGCCCTTTACAAACTGTACTTCTTTCTGTCCGGGATCTTACTTAAAGTAAGATAACATTGTCTCCAGTGCCCTGAGGTGGATGTTATTATCCCCACTTTACAGGACAATGTATCAAGGTTCCACGAAGTTGACTGGCTCGCAGCAGATTGAACACCAGGATGGAGAGCCAGCTCTCCTAGTGTGGGCGAGGGCAAGGGCGTGAAGACCGCGCCCTTTCAATGGGCGGAGACCAGCCCCCCACGGCCCACAGTTCACAACGCTCCCTTCAGTCTGGTTTTCCCACAGAAGCATGCCAGAGGAAGAGGCTTCAGATTGTTCTGGAAGATCCAGTCAATGCCAACATCGCCTGGGCTGCCCGGACTAAAGGCTTGGGCAGACACGCAGAGACGTTTGCAGCCTGCCCCCCTCGCTCCCCGGCCTGGACTCACAGGTTTTTGAGGTCCGTGGCTCCTCGGAAGGCTTTTCTGGGGATGGCCTGGATGGTATTCTCACTCAGGTCCCTGTGGGGATAAAGGCAGAGGGAGGCCCAATGGTCAGAAGAGAGACGCCCCCAGACAACGGGTAAGGCAGGCTGGCCAGCGCTCAGGCTGGTCACTGCTATGTTCCAGCACCAGGCAGAGCGGCCACTTGACAAGCTGTGATTGGCAAATATGGAATGGAAGTAACGACCCCAAGCCTGAACCCAGGTGGTCTCTACACCCATGGAGCCTGAGTGTTTCTGCCATGACCTTCAGCCCAGCCCCTGCCCCCTCTCCCACCCCATGGTGTGCCGTCCCCAGAGCCGTGGGGCCCCCTCCGTGTCTAGAGATCCCCATTGAGCCACCAGGACAGGGACAAGAGTCACAGAAGGCACCCTGGGGCCCTGAGGTCAAAACCCCAAACCAAACTCACAGCCATCGAGTCCATGCTGACTCCCAGTGACCCTGTAGGACAGGGTGGAACTGCTCTGCGGGTCTCAGAGACTGTCACTCTTTACGGGAGTAGAAAGCCCCATCTCTCTCCCTTGGAGTAGCCGGCGGTTTCGAACTGCTGACCTTGCAGTGAGCAGCCGACTCACAAACACTCCGCCACCAGGTCAGAAAGGCCGGGTTCAAATGCCAGCGCCCCCACCTCCTGGCTGTGTGCTGTGCTCCCCCACCTCAGCCTCTTCACTTACAAATGAGAAAAGCAAGGCCCTGGCGCAGGAACCCCAACCCTGAGGGGGGCCAACCTACCCCAGCCCAGCCCCCACCCACTCCAGCCTTGAGAAATCCAACCCACGGGGCCTTTCAGCCTGGCGGGCCCTGTGCTCTCTGCCCTGGAAAGACGACAGTCTAGCCCGCATGCAGATACTTCTCACTTGCTCACCAGCAGCCTCCCGTCACTGTGGAGGCCCTGTCTCTGTCCCCAGCGCAGCATCAGCATCTCCCCTCCACCTTCCACTCCGCCGCAGACCCTCGCCCTGTCCCCTCAGGACGCTGCGCCCCTCTGCACACTGTGCTCTCCGGTCTCCGTCACTCGTCAATGTGCCCAGCCTCTCAGTTCTTCCTTCTCAGTGGTTCCCACCAACCCCATTTATCTTTGGGGTGGGGGGGGCATTGCTGCTTTGAATTATTTGCCTGATCCTATGGTCCTCTCTTCCTCCCCTAGAAAGAGACTGCCGCCCCGCCCCACCAAGTACTACCTCCCCTTCCCTATATCTTTGCTCTATACAGACCACCAAAGTGGTGGAGCCCCTCCAGGCACTGACCGGTGGGCCTTTGTGTGTGGACCCCCTCCCTTTTCCTTGAACAGGATGAGGGCAGTGGGCAGGGCGGGCTGGCGGGGTAAATGGCTGACCTTAGAGCAAGGGCTGTGCAGACTGTACAGGTCAATAAGTGGCCCCCACACTCAGGGAGCTCTGGGGCACACAAGTTCCTAGTTAGCGAGGAGCTGACCCGTCCACACCAGCACCACAGACATGGCTGGCTCCCAGTGGCACATGCAGGGAGGGTTGTACGGGGAGTTCTGGGGGAGCCCGGCCAGAGAGTGTGGCTCTGCCCAGCAGCCTTGACTGAGGGGAAGGGACTCCAGCCAATGGACTGCAGTAGAGTCCGTTGGTATCTCATTGCCGGGTCAGTTTCCTCAGCTGTCCTAAGCATGGTCTTTATCCATGTTGGGACCCTGCAAATGGATTTGGGCTACCACTGCCATCCATTGCCTCTGTAAACTGGGCACTCACAATGGAAGCTCGGACACCCTTCCCTTCTCCGAGTGTGGCGACTCTTGTAACTAACATGCTCTCTTCTCGATAGTGTGGGTGGGTGAGGACAGAGGCTCGGCAGAGGTCACCTCTTGGGTTATACTGTAGTCTTTTTAAAAGATCGTTTGGTTGGCATGTATTTCACAGATGATATCACCTAATCATGCAAGCATGTTCAGAGGGTTGTGCAACCATCACCCCAATTCCAGAACGTGTTCTTCTCATGACAACATTGTTGTTAGCTCTCCATTCCTCCCACCCACCCCCTGTCTCCATAGATCTACCTCTCCTGGATTTCATATACAGAAAATCATACAAAACAAAACACATCATACAGAGTCATAGAAAGCAAGCAAAACAAAACAAAAAAACCAACAATGAATAGACAAAACAGAAACCTCAATCAAAAAGTAAGCAGAAAATACTAAAAACTGAAACAACTTTATTTTATTAATCATTTTATTGGGGGGCTCTTACAAGTCTTATGACAATCCAATATTCATTGTATTAAGCACACTTGTACATATGCTGCCATCAACATTTCCAAAAACATTTACTTTCTACTTGAGCTTTTAGTATCAGCTCCTTCCCCTCCCCCCTCCTTCTCTAATCCTCATGAATCCTTGATCAATTATGTTATTGTTATTTCATGTCATACACTGTCCATTGTCTCCCTTCACCCACATTTCTGTTATTCATCTCCCTGGGGGCTGGGCTATAGATCCAACCTTGTGATGGGTTCCCCCTTTCTTCCCCCTCCCCCCCTTCCCCCACCATTCCCCTACCTTCATGATATCGATACTCTCACTACTGTTCCTAAGGGGTTTATCTGTCCTGAATTCCAGGGGTTGAGAGCTCTTATCTGTACCAATGTACAGATTTGTCTAGCCGGATTTGTAAGGTAGAACTGGGTCATGGTAGTAGGGGAGGAAGCAAGCATTCAGGAACTGGAGGAATGATGTGTGAAAAAGTGAAACAACTTTACATAGGTCTAAAGGGACATCAAATGACAGGGTGTTACATTTTAACCTAACCACGTCTTCCATAATCAGTTTTACATGCTCTCTGTGTGATAGCCTGGACATTCGCATCCCTGGACAACGGTGGTCAGAGAGGCTTCACTGGGACAATCCATGGATCTGGAGTCTCCGTTCTCCTCCACAGCCTTCTGCAAACAGGTTGTTCACTATTGAATCTCTGATAATATTCCCTCTTTCCGATTTGGGTTTTATTATTGACAATCCTTGGATCACACAGGCTGGTGTGCTTCTATGTGGACTTAGTTGACACCTTCCTTAGATGGCTGCTTGTTTTAAGACAAGCCTCTAAGGCCCCAGACGCTATTCTTTCTCATAGCCGGGCACTAGGTGGTTTCACCACACTTTGCTATAGCTCGCGTATAGCTCTTCAGCGATCTCTTCAGGAGGGTGAGCATTGAGCAGGGCCCAGGGATGCCGGTAGTCAAGGACAGAGGACAGTGTCACGTCGATGGCGGCAGATGCAGTTAGGCTAAAATGTGACACCTTACCCTTTGACCTCCCTTTTGATCCATTTTAAAGTTGTTTCATTTTTAATCTCTTCTGCTTTCTTTTTGATTGAGATGTGTCTATGTTTTGTCTAGTCATCGGTGTTTGTGTGATTTCTCTTTGTGTTCTTATATGATTTTCTGCATATTCAGTCCAGGATACGTAGATCTGTAGAGACAGTAAATGGATAGGGACAGGGAAGGAGGTGGGGCCTCTACTGGTGACCATCCTCCAACCGGAAGTTTGAGGGACCGGAAGTTCTCCCTGGCAACAGATCATGGGCAGGAACTCTGCGCCGGCAACTCGCCTCCATTGTTCCATTTAATCCCCACCACTACTCTATAAGGACGGTGGCTTATTTTTATTGATTCGTTTATTGATTTTTACCCAACCTTGTTCCAGGCAGGCTTTAAGGTGGCTTACAGGGACTTATACATCAGCAAAAGAGCAGGGGGAACCAAGAGGGACAGGTCAGTGGGGACACAGAGACGCACCCATGGCAGGGGACCCCCATCCTCGCCACCTCCAGGTTGCATCAAGGGCGGCTGGCTCTCAGAGAGCCCACGTGCACCCGGAACCAGGCCAGAGGGCCCCAATGTATGGGGACATTTGAAAAGCCCTCTTCCTCAGGAGTGGAGCTGTGAGGGCCACTGAACTGAGACAAGAATCTTCCCAGGGGACTTTAGGAAAATGACGGTGCCACCCAATCAAGGACCCTACAGCCTTGTAAGAGATGGGTTGCAGGCATCTGCCTCAAGGCACAATTCTAGAAGAGGTCACACCAGGGACTAGGGAGGTGAAGAGGGCCAGTCTAGGCAAGGCATGACAGAGCTGTGCAGGACAGGGCTGATGGCGAGAAGTTGGGTTTGCTAGGAGCCAAAGACTCCAGGAAAGAGGTTGCCACTGGCAGCCTGGGGGCAGGGGAGTGGATAGGATAACACACAAAGACGTCTTCCAGAGGAAAGGTGTTCCTGTGTGGTGACCAAAGGGTTGGCGGCCATCTAGAGGTGCCTTGAAGGAAAGAGCTGGCAATCTGCTAGAAACCAGCCCGTGAGAACCCGTGTGTGCTCTGACCCTCACGACACAGGGCATCATGGGTCAGAGCCGTTCAACAGCTGCTGGTACCCGGTACAGAGAAGGACAATGCCTGAGGCCGGCAGACAAGAGATGCCGGGTACCGAGAGCCCAGAGGCCAGGACTCGGGCAGAGCTGACTTGGCCAGGATCACAGAACTGCACTGAGCTGGGAACCTCCGCCAGCCCACAGCAGTGAGCAGCCAGCGCTGCTTCAGTGAAGAAAGCAAAGGGGTAGAATCTGAGACCCCGGGAGAGGCCAGCTTGCCAGCCAGGGGAAAACGCTAAGTCCAGTAAGTCTGAGGAAAATGCAGCATGCTGGCGGCCAAGGTGATGCTGGAAAGAGCCCACACTTGGCAATGAAAAGGGTCTGGGTTCGATTCTTACTGCTAGTGCAAACCAGCCATTGGGGGCTGGCGGGGTACTGAGCGCTTCAGTCAAATGAGAATGAAAGTGCCTGTCTCGCAGAGTTCCCGGAGCCGCTTCTGCTGTAGCAAATCCACTGAGCAAGAATCAAGAGACACCGGCCTTTGTCTGCCCCTTAGCACAGCAGAGGAGCCCTGGTGGGGCAGGGGCCAAGCACTCAGCCAATGGAGAGGTTGGTGGTTCAAACTCGCCACTCGTCAGCGGGAAAGAAAGTAGCAATCTGCTCCCATAAAGGCTCCAGCCGAGGAACCCCC